GAAACTTTAACAGTACATTCATAATAAACACCACTATCAAAATATAAAAAAAAAAAAAATTGATATTTTCAACCTCACACATGAGACTACATCCTTAAACATTGTGAAATTCGAATTCCATCTTGTTGGTAAATTAGCTTTCTTAAAATATTTGACAATTTTTTTGCACATTTCTACTAATTCATCAACTTCTTTAGATTCCTTAAACGAATTCTCCAAAACTTTGGAAAGCAAATGGCTGCTGCAGTTTAACCTAATATTATTCTGCAAAGCTTTGACGATATTTGTTCCTCGATCGGTAACAAACTTCATTTGGTTCAAATTATATATGCCGAATTCAGCAAACAAAGTGTTCAACTTGTTTAAAACATTTGTGCTAGTTGAACGCTCAAAGTCCATTGACACCTAAGATGAGATCTACCAATTTAAAATCTTTTTGGTAATGCAAGGTGGCACCAAGAAAGTTGCGATGAACGTAACTGTCCGTCCACAAGTCAACTGTGGCAGTTGCTCCACCACTATTAGCAATCTCATCTTTAATCATGTTTTTTTTCTCATCCGCCAACTTTTGCGCAGCTCGAGAAACCGTCGTTGCATCAGGCAGCAGGTCATCAAGATCAACTCCTTCCTTATACCTTCCACCAATATTGACTAGAAACTTTGCCATGTTCCTAAATCCTTGCCATTATTTGATGAAAAGGGTCGGCAGTCCTGTGTCACCCATTTCACACATGCGTCAATAGCATCTTTTTTGTCCTCTGGTTTCGCTGTAGTCAACAAAAAGTCAAAAAAAAAAAGGACAAGCTACAAACTACAAGCTAAACTACAAGAAGCTGGCATAGAAATTGTTATTGTACATGCAGTCGTAACGCTCACATTGTGTCGTGTTGTCTCTAATCGTTTAGTCATCCACACTCAACTCAAGTTGATCCCATTGATGCTTTCGTATACACCTGCTCATTTTTTGGAACGGAATGATGCGTACGGCAAAATGAGTTGATTTTTACTCATCCCTGTGTTTCGTTCAGTTAGTTGAGTTAATTGAAAAAGTTCGCATATGATTAAATCAAAAAAGTAGTAATTTTTGCAGTTCTCTGGTATGTATATACATATGTATATTCTTGATCAGGATCACCTCCTGATTTGATATGAGCATGTCCGTCTGTCTGTCTGTTTCTACGCGAATTAGTCTCTCAGTTTTAGAGCTGCCTACTTCAAAGTTTGCCCATGAAGCCCCTGCTGCTGCTGTTCTTTTACTTTGGTTGACTGCCATTTTTACTAGATCGCTTTCTCTTTTTAATCTCTTGCGACTTTCTTATTAGCATCCTCTGCCTGTATTTGTGTTACCAATCGTCTCTCCTCAAATTCCCGCTTCTGGTTGTACTGCTGCTTCTAAAACTGCATTCTGTCACTGCTCTTTCGATGCTTTCTGCTGCTCCTTCTGCTATACCACAAACATCTGATATAGTTGGTCGACCCTTATGGGAATATCATAATATAAGGAATTTATTACAAAAAAATATCTACAAAAAAAAAGTCCCAAGCTTCTATTTTCAAAAATGCCAGTTCAATTTCTACCAAATACCATTTCCGATCAATCAGTTATATGGCAGCTATAGAATATAGTCGGCCGATCCGGGCCGTTCCGACTTATGTACTGCGTGCAAGAGGGGTGGAAAGAGGAAAGAGGGGTGTGTGCAAAGTTTCAAGTCGATAGCTTTAAAACTGACAGACAAGTTTGAGTAGAAACAGACAGACGTACAGACGGACATGCTCATATTAACTCAGGAAGTCATCCTGATCAAGAATATACAGGGTGACAATAAATAAACCGGACAAACATTTTTGATCATAACTTTTTAAGGAACTGTATTTGAGAAAAAATGCAGATACACAACTTTTAAATAGGTATTGTGTTAACATATATTCAGCCGGTTTCGAAGTGGCTTCCTTGGGCTGCCGTGAAGAGAATACGCTCCCATTTTGACCTGCGTCCCGACGCTTTAGTTGATGGCATCTTTGGAGTCTCACGCGCTTATTGTCATCCGTATGAAGATGCACTTTTTGAGCTTGTAGGGCTTGAGATTAAGTTTATTTTTTGCAATCAACCGAACACTTTCTCGATTCACTCCGATTTCACGGACTTTTTTTCTGACCGAGACTCTGCAATTCCGAGTGATCCGCTTTTTCACGATCTGGCGAATTCTGGAAGTGTTAGCGGTGCATGGTCTGCCTCGTCCGGGACGGTCACCTTCATGGCCAGGCTCATCAAATCGCCGGATAGCGTCAGAGACCGTTTGATTTGGTATGCCAAGCAAACGAACAATGTCGCATTGGCGATTTCCTTGTTGAAACAGTTTTAAAATTGCACAACGATTGTTAGACATCCCGAAACAAATATCAAAGTTATGGAAATCACAAAAAAGTAAATATATTTGTTTCAGAAAAGTACAAGCTATCGATAAATGCATTTATTTAAGGGCTGCATCATAACACATTTATAATAGATTGCTTCAAAGTTTGTCCGGGTTATTTATTGTCACCCTGTATATACCTTAGACGGTCGGAGATGTCTCCTACACACTTGGGCAAATCGACAACTTTAGCCCCCCTACGTCCATACTGCCGATTTATTAGGGAAGTAGACTAAAACCACTAACCATACAGCATATAGACAACCCATTTCATACAACGAAAATGGACGCGAAAATTTCTTGCGACAGGCCCCAGCAGGCCCCAGAGCGGATTTCTTACGCTCTCTTACGCTCATCGTTCGTTCATCTTACGCTCATTCTCGCAATAAATGTTTTCTGTTTCTCAGTCTCTAAACGGAGCGCGATGAAGAAGGTTGGCCTGCGCTTCGGTTGATCTTTGTATGTATGCGTGTCACACATTCACATACATGGGTGTAGTGTGCGTGCGATTTCGTTTCGAAGCCAGCGCACAAAATTTTGATTTTTCTTACTTTTAAGGCTTGCTACCCTAACAAAATTCGGGTATTCGTTATTTGATGAAATGACGAAAGAAATTATATTATTTTTTATTTTATTTTTTTTTATTATTTCAGCATACATTTTTAATTTATTTAGGAATAAGATTAAGTGTTAGTAGTAAAATGTTTTCTGTATATATATTTTTACGAATCATTAAAAATCAATATACTGAGAAAGTGTCAGAGTATATTTCGGTCGGAGTCACTTAAAGCGCCGATTGCTTTTAAGTTTTTGTTGTTCTGCAAGAGGCTTGTGCATGCCTACTCTAACGATGGAATGATTTTTAGGGGAGGGTGAAGACGGGTGAAGAATTAAATTACTTTTTAAAGTTATTATATATAAGGAAATATATATAAGGAAATTATTAAATTAACGACAATAATTTAATTAAATCTCACAATAACCCAAAATATAATAACAAGTGCCTGAAAAATTGTAAACAAAAAAGGTAAACAAGTCCATCAGCTGTTTTCGTGTCTTCACCCTCCCCTAAAAATCATTCCATCGTTAGAGTAGGCATGCACAAGCCTCTTGCAGAACAACAAAAACTTAAAAGCAATCGGCGCTTTAAGTGACTCCGACCGAAATATACTCTGACACTTTCTCAGTATATTGATTTTTAATGATTCGTAAAAATATATATACAGAAAACATTTTACTACTAACACTTAATCTTATTCCTAAATAAATTAAAAATGTATGCTGAAATAATAAAAAAATATAATATACAAAATAATATAATTTCTTTCGTCATTTCATCAAATAACGAATACCCGAATTTTGTTAGGGTAGCAAGCCTTAAAAGTAAGAAAAATCAAAATTTTGTGCGCTGGCTTCGAAACGAAATCGCACGCACACATACACCCATGTATGTGAATGTGTGACACGCATACATACAAAGATCAACCGAAGCGCAGGCCAACCTTCTTCATCGCGCTCCGTTTAGAGACTGAGAAACAGAAAACATTTAATGCGAGAATGAGCGTAAGATGAACGAACGATGAGCGTAAGAGAGCGTAAGAAATCCGCTCTGGGGCCTGCTGGGGCCTGTAGCAAGAAATTTTCGCGTCCATTTTCGTTGTATGAAATGGGTTGTCTATATGCTGTATGGTTAGTGCTAAAACGTAGTATCTAGTAGTTCTATCTCTTATAGTCTACGAGATCCACGCATTCAACATTTGATGGGATGGAAGTTATTGTGATAGGCGTTTGTATGGGAAATTGTATATATCTCCTCAAAAAATCTGTTGATTTAAATGAAATTTCAGATATACAGATATTTATTTTCAGATATACATTACCTGTAGATATAGTTTGGCATCAAAAGTTTTTTAAAGAACTTTCCAGTACTTGCGATACAGAGTTTCGCATTTTGTGGGGGCGGGAGGGAGCGTTGCAAAAATATATTAAATATATTAAAAAATAAATTAAACAAACTTTAACTGCGTGGGCATTATAGGAGCCTCCATGCCAAACCCTTTAGCACTATCTCTCTGAGATCCACGCGTTCATACGGACAAACTGACGGACAGACGGACGGACATATGTAGCTGTTGGCTGCATCGACCCGGCTGTTGATTTTGATCACGAACATATATACTTTTTGGGGTCGAAGATGATTCCTTCTCTATGTTTTATATACGGATACTCTAATGATGCATTTACTATACAAGTACCGGGCATTAAAATGTTTTTATTGAAAAATATTTCTACTGTTTCTAGAAAAGCTTTCGTTAACATAAAAAGACACTATTTCAGTGCTCAGTGAATGTCCTGCGTACATTGGTTTTGCTGGTTACGCAAACATTCAAATGTTAAACTTGTGTCAGCCAAAATTACTCTTCTTTGTTTCATAAATTTTTACAAATAAAATAAACTTTATGGACCTTTTAAACATACATTTATTACATTTTACATATATTTAATATATTGAACCCAAAACGTATGCAATTATGTAGAAATACAATTTATCTCGCTTTCCCGATTATTCTGATTTATATATTTTAGGACTACAAACAGTTGGAGCTTTCTTGCGAGACCGTCGAAGATGTTGAATCATGGAAAGCCTCATTCTTACGTGCAGGCGTTTACCCTGAAAAACAGGAGACCCAAGAAAATGGGGACGAGGTAAGCTTCATGAGAAACATTTATTTATTAGAAACATCTTGAGCAACATTTTTTTAAATTTATTATCACATTTATACTATAAATGGAGCTATCCATATACTTTAATTTTTAGTCATTGACTTCCTAATTACTAGTCAGGATGAAAATCCTGAAAGGTGGTGACCTTTTTATTCTATTTAGAAATTTAATATTACTATCTATTTAGAATATTAGAAAATATTCTATTCAAAAATAAATTAAACCTCTTTAAGCACGAGGTGTTAGCTTTATAAAATTTGTTTTTATAGCCTTATAATATAGCCCTCTTATAATTTTGGTCAGAAGTGTGCAACGCCTACTATATCCTTTAGCTACCATCTAACTAAAATATCCGAAATGACTCAAATTTCGTGTTTTTAAAAATAGGTTTGCAATTTCTACAGATTGTATTAGGATAAGCAGTCATGTGACTGAAAGATCGGCAATAGTATTTTGTATTTGGTAAAAATACCAACTTTGGTAATTTTGAATATATAAATATACTATTTATATATAATAATATAATATAACTAATATATAATTTTGTATTCAAATAAATTGGTTTTATAAGAAAATTGTCATAAAGGTCGACCAACTATATTTAATATTTGTGATTCATATCCGATCCTAACTGCAAGGGTATATCGGCTCCGCCAAAGGTTACCTTTCCTTTCTTGTTATACCCTGGCAGAGGGTATTTTACAAAAGGATATTATAATTTTTATCAAAAGTGTGAAACGCAGTGAAGGAGACATCTCCGACCCTATAAAGTATATATATTCTTGATACGCAAACTAGTCTCTCAGTTTTAAAGCTATCGACTTGAAACTTTGCACACACCCTTCTTTCCTTTGCACGCAGTATATAAGTCGGAAAGGCCGGCCAACTTTGGTATTTTTGAAAAGGATTTTATATTGGTTATATTATGATATTGTAACAAGAGTCAACCAACTATATCCGACGTTTTTTTTTATACATATTCGGTTTTACCTGCAAGGGTATATCAACTTCGGCTCCAGCCCAAGATTTCCTTTCTTGTTTTTTAATGATTATTGAAAAAAAGTTAATATGCAAAATCCTTGGTTATTTAATAATACTACAATTATAATATTCAAAATATTATAAAAGTACAACATAAGTTGTGTTTTCAACATTACCAAAGTTTTCAAGCAACTTAAAATAAGTCTCAAGCAACATTTTTCTTGGTCAATAGAATAGAATAGAATTTTATGGTCAATAGAATATCAATATGGTCGCCATCTAAATTAAAATGTTTTTCATCAGTAAAATCAACAGAACGCCAATCATTAGGCCGAGTGTCAGTTTGAACATTATACGTCATGTATTCTTTTCCAAATTGAAGCCGTTTTTCTTTGCATATGGCATTCAGTAGAGGTTTTTTCATGATTTTTAGAAGCTTTAGGTGTTCTGCATTTCTGATTATACGCTGAACAGTCAAAAGGATTGCTTTTACTCCGGCTAATTCCTTAGCTGCGGACAAAGTCGAATTTGATGTCATTTTGCGTACTGCTTGTTCAGATAGTGCTCTTTTTTCCTTTCAACTTGAATCGGGCAACTATATCCGATATTTGCGATATATGTATATCTGTATTTAACTGAAAGGGTATATCAACTTCGGCTTCGCCCGAAGTTAGCTTTCCTCTTGTTTTGACTCATTTTTATACCCTTGAAGATGGTATTATAATTTTGGTCAAAAGTGTGCAACGCAGTGAAGGAGACATCTCCGACCCTATAAAGTATATGTATTTTTGACCAGGATCATCTCCTGAGTTGATATGAGCATGTCCGTCTGTCCGTCTGTCTGTCTGTTTCTACGCGAACTAGTCTCTCAGTTTTAAAGCTATCGTTTTGAAGCTTTGCACACACTCTTCTTTCCTTTGCACGCAGCATATAAGTCGGAACGGCCCGGATCGGCCCGGATCGGCCGACTATATCCTATAGCTGCCATATAACTGATTGATCGGAAATGGTATAACTTTGGTGTTTTTAGAGTTAGAGAGTTCAAATTTGACATGAGAGCTATTTTTGGCAAAATATTACGACATGCCAATTTTCATAAGGATTGGCCGACTATATCTTATAGCTGCCATATAACTGAACGATCGGAAATGATTCAACTTTCGTGTTTTTGATGATAGAAAGCTGGCACTTGGTACACATTCTATTTTTGGTCAGTTATTCCGATCTACCAAATGTCATAAAGATCGGTTGACTATATCTTATAGCTGACATATAACTGTACGATCGGAAATGGTTTTTGGTAGATATATCAACTTTCGTATTTTTGAAGATAGAAGCTTGGGACTTTTTTTTATATTTTTTATTGTAATTAATTGGTTTTATTATGATGTAATCATAAGGATCGGCCAACTATATCCGATGTTTGCGATATATATCCGGTTTTAGCTGCAAGGGTATATCAACTTCGGCTCCGCCCGAAGAGTTAGCTTTGCTTTCTTGTTAGAGTTAGAGAGTTGACACGAGAGCTATTTTTGGCAACTTATTACGACATGCCAAATTTCATAAGGATCGGCCGATTATATCTTATAGCTGCTATATAACTGAACGATCGAAAATGAACCAACTATCGTGTTTTTTAAGATAAAAAGCTGTAACTATTTTGTCAGTAGTACAAATTCTATTTTTGGTCAGTTGATCTAACCTACCAAATTTCATTAGGATCGGCCGACTATATCATATATCTGCCATATAACGGAACGTTCGGAAATGGTATTTGGTAGAAATATCAACTTTTGTATTTTTGAAGATAGAAGCTTGGGACTTTTTTTTAGATTTTTTATTGTAATTAATTGGTTTTATTATGATGTAATCATAAGGATCGGCTAACTATATCCGATGTTTGCGATATATGTATATCCAGTTTTAACTGCAAGGGCATATGAACTTCGGCTCCGCCCGAAGTCAGCTTTCCTTTCTTGTTTTTACCAATTTTTTCCAATTAAAATAGGCGTGGGTGGCACCCTAAAGATATATTGAAGTGAAATTTGAGTGGATGTGTTTTGTGTGGCAGTCTTTATATTTAAAATTGGATATACAGATGAGTTGTGTGTAGTCAATTCATAAGACTTCAATAAAGACCGCGTAACAACAGACTGAATTAGAAGGTGGTGCTGATCAAGAATATAGACTTTTTAAGATATCTCCTTCACAGCGTTGCACACGTTTGACCGAAATTATAATACCATCTGCAATGGTATACCAAAAGCAATTTTATGCCAAAAGTTTATTATTGCATTAAAATCATTGTTTTCATTTGGATATGTGACTGTCTAAGGCTATGCTGGTACGTGAATAATTTTCTTTCTGTTATAAAGTGTTCTTGAGCAGGAAAATATTCATACCCATACTCATAAATTGGGCCGGTTGATGTGGTGCCAGTTGTTGCTAAGATATGTCTTGGCAAAGGGTTTGAATACATTTTCTCTAATGAATATAAAATTTACAAAAGCTAACATGCAATACATTTTTAAATTATTATGTTTATATGTATTCAAAAAAAAAACATATTTAAAAAAATGTTTTTAAATTCGAAATTTATTTTTTAATGAACATTATTTCTTACAGGAAGGACCAGAGGTTTGTTATTCAATCCTTTTAACTTAACATCTCTTTTTTCTATAACTAATTCGTAAGATTTTTAAATGCAGTATTATTTGTTGTTTATACCTCTGTATATACCACTAAATACATTATTTGATATATATTTTATATACATATTTCATTATCGTCAAAAGTGTGCCACGCAGTGAACGGGACATTTTTAACACTATATATACCTGTATACTTCCGATTTACATTTTGCGCACTATTCTTCCATTTTACACATTGTATTTATATTATACCCGGTACTCATTTCTTCCATCAACCATTTAAATAACCTTTCAATTTTAAACTTAAGGGGGGACATCTGAGTAACACGCGAAAAAAGGGGATTTTTTGGAATTTTTGTTGGCCAAATGAAAAAGTCAAAGCCTCAATTTGTAAATGATTTAAAGTACAAAAGAAATTTTTTTTTAATAAATCGAAAACAAAATGGCGGCTCTGCAGCCGACAATAAGGGCATTCGTAGGCCCTATTTTGTTGAAGGGGGTCCATGGCCGGACAGCTAACGTCCTAAATGATCTAGAACAAAAAATCAAGTTTGGTTAAGTTCTATACATCAACAACTATCGACACACATAAGATTTTTTCGGTATATTGATTTTTTGCAAAATGGTGAGTGATTGAAAAAAAGTTAACATTTTCACGAAAAAAAAAACATCACAAAATTGTTGATAAATAAAGGAAACTATTTAAAAAAAATCCTACGTGTGTCGATAGACAAAGGTATTTTCTATATACTGTTAAAATCGCAGATCGATAGGTTAAGAGTTGTTCGAGTTATGTTTCCGGCCGTCTCAAAAAAAAAACGGTTTCGAGAAAAACTCATTTAAAGTTTTAAGTACTGTGGGATATACTTGTGAGGCATCGCCGCAGAATAAAAAATTTCGACACTTAGACACATTTGCCGGACTCTATCTTTGATATGTTATTTTTAAGACCCTATAGAATTTTTTAAGCGAAAAACAAATTTTTAAATTTTTTCAAAATTCTACTCAGATGTAGACTTTTGGGCAATGAGCTGTTTATAATACCCTTACGTTTGCGATAACACAAGAATTTTAATTCTAATGGAAAACCTACTACAGCCAAATTTTCTACAAATGTTTAAACGACTGATTATTATAAAGCAGTGGAGGCAAGATCTCATTTTCCATAGCACGAGTGCATTAGGTAGGCAGCAGCGCGGCCAGCACACACTGACACTGTGAGCACTCTCTCAATTTTTTAGAAGCTCTCTCATTAGCTCCCATTTTGCCTCATTTAATAGCCCAAACTTAAAAAATGTTTCCACTGAGCAAAAAATATTCTCAGAAATTGGATTGGAAAAAGTTTTCTCC